GGATCTGAAGTAAAGTAACTGGGACTTGAACTGATATGGCATACTGGGGTCATAAGTGCTGGTTTAACCCACTGCACCACAATGTTGGCTCCACAAGTTTATTTTTAACAGTTGATTCTGGAAGAGGAAGCCCAGCCCATCTCACTATAAGTACTGGTTAATAAGTATCACATCAGGTTAATCATTGAGAATGTTATTTTTTTTAGCATTTTTTAAAGATTTATTTATTTAATTGAAAGTCAGAGTTACACGGGGGGGGGGGAGGGGGAAGGGGGGAAGAGAGAGAGAGAGAGAGAGATGTTCTATCTGATGGTTCACTGCCCAATTGGCCGCAGTGGCTGGAGCTGTGCTGATCCGAAGCCAGGAGCTTCTTCCGGGTCTCCCATGTGGGTGCAGGGGCCCAAGGACTTGGGCCATCTTCCACTACTTTCCTAGGCCACAGCAGAGAGCTGGATCAGAAGTGGAGCAGCTGGGTCTCGAACCAGCGCCCATATGGGATGCTGGCCCTTCAGGCCAGGGTGTTAACCCACTGCACCACAGCACCAGCCCTGAGAATATTATTTTAAAATACATTTCTTGGAAGATATCAATACAATATATGCAAACCAAAAATGTCAAATAATATTGGAAAACATTGGATTAACAAAACCAGACAGACTTCTTTTCCACAGGCCTTCTTAGAGCTCTAATACATGTAATATGATTTGTGAATATTCAGGAGGGATATTTAGAATGCAGCATTTTCCAAATGTGATTGCAAACCATAATGGCATTTTGTTTTGTTTTTAAGAAACATTAGTAGTCGCATTGGGAACCATCATTTTAAAATTTGATAACTTTGGTTTTTGATTTTAATACGTTGAGTTGGTCATCTTCATTATTCATTTAACAGATCAATGTTCCCGGCTTTTTTTTTTTTTTTAAATTTAAGAGTTGGCAAGACAGAGACAGGCATACAGACAGACTTACAGAGCTCCCTTTTGCTCATTCACTCCCCAAATGCCTACAGTGGCTAAGACTGGGTCAGGTCAAAACTAGGAACTGGTTCTCAGTTAAAACACAGGGATGGCAGGGACACAACTACTTGAACCATCACCTGCTGCCTCCCAGGGTCTCTTCATTGACAGGAAGTTGGAATCTGAAGCCGGAGCCCGGAATTGAACCCATGTACCCTGATCTGGGTGCTCTAACCCCAGGGTCTTAACTGCTAGGCCAGATTTCTGCCTTCTGGTTTATCCTTACAATTCTTGTGATGTTGGCCTGTTTTCCCTCCCCTTTGAGATAGACGCCTGAAACTCAGTAATTTGGTCTATAGTTGAGACTCTCTCAAAGTCATCCAAATTACCTTGAGTTTCTTGGGTAAATGGAGAATTCTATAAAATTAATTGAAGTCTCTGGATTATTGAATGAAAATTGAAGATTGAAGTTTCATTTGATTCAACTTTTTTCATTTGCTGTTCAGAGAGAGACATGGAATCAACTTTGAAGACAGCCTCTTGAGGAATTATGAGCTTGATATGTAGAAGGTGGCATTACTGTGGGAAGGAGAATATAGGGCTTCTGCTTCTGTCTTTGCCATTTACTAGCTACTTAGTTTTGAACAGGTCACTTAGCCTTCTCTTCTCGTTTTATCATCTATAAAATTCAGGGATTTAATTTGGGTGAGCAGTATGGGTCCATCCATTTTAAGCATGCTAAGTTATTAGCATGCTTAATAGAATTAATGAAGATTGTGTGCCTATGTAAGATATTTTGTTCTATTCTGCATTTCTATATGTAAAAATAATGTATCATGTGTCCTAGTACAGCCCTTTTGGAGAATGAAGTTATTCAGCAGTTAACTCATAGTCAGCTTTATGTATTTGAGAACTTGTATCATTTGAGATTTCTCTCTCTGTTGGTTGATTTGTTAAATACCCTCCAGAAAAGCATTCTTTTAATCACAGGTCACTTAATACAATAGATTGGATAAATCTACACCTCCTGTGTGAATACCCTCTACATTTGTTTCTCTAATGTACAGAGAAATCCAGGATGTGAATATTAATTTTCTGCCTCCCACTAGTGTTCATTTGGTGATTTTGCTGTGCTTTTTGTTCCCTCTCTACCTAAGAGCAGATTTGTGAACCTGGCCCGATAGAGTCTAAATTCACTGAATTGATGCCATCTGGAATGAACCTTAAATTTTGTTCTTGACATTAAGGATATGACATAGATATTACACAGAAGGACTGTACGCCTGAATGTGATTTTCTTGTGCGGAGGTAGACTGGTGTGTTAGAAGAAAAACATTTAACTGAATTGGTGACTGCCATCTTAGCAGGAGACTTATTTTTGTTTTTAAATGAGATGACAACTGAGAGAATTATCTAGAACCAGTGAATTTAAGGAGAATCCTTTCAGTTTACTTGAGTTCTGTGTTTAACCTTGCCTTTGGTGTCATTCTGTGCATTACTGTCAAAGGACTCAGCTTCCTTTGAAGTCTTTAAGTGTTGCTGATGGTAGAACGTAATAGTGGTTCTTAGTAAAACCCTTTCTGATACACAGTGATGCCTTATTACCTAAGTAAAAGCATATGTGTATGAGTGCCTACAAATGTAGAATGTAAGGGGAGGATATATGATAATGGACACTGAGAGGGGAGAAGTGTTTCTCATGAATTAGGGATGCCCTTTCATAATTGACGAGCTGCAGAATGAGGAAAGGCTTGAAATCACCCGAAAAAGCATCTGGAAGCAATCTGTAATTTTTAAGTGGCAGCAGAAGAGCCTGTACTGCTCCAGTATGTGATGATAAAACTGTTCATGTGGGATTATGGAAGAAGTAGAATTTTGTTACTTGCAAAACCATTTGTGATTACATGCCCAGAGATTTGATTATGAGGTAATACTGCTAGTTCCCCGGTGATTAATAAATGATGAATTGATTAGAGTGAAGGCAGCTGATTTGAGAGCATTGAGCAAATTGGAATATTAAGAATTTGTTTATTTGCAATTGAAATATTATTCTTTACTTTTCATGCCCCACCCAGTTCATGCTTCATTATCAATACTATGCCCAGTTTTGAAGATTTTGGTCACACTGTCTATGCTTTCCTTTTCCTCATTTTTTCCCTTTCATGTAACATTTGTTATAAGGAAAAGAATTCTATTCTAATCCAAGCTTTTGAAGCCAACTATAGGTTGAAAACTTGTAAACATGTGTGTGCGCACACACACATATAAACCTTTTTTTTTTTTAAAGACAGAGTCAGAGAGAGGTAGAGACAGAGAGAGAGGCCTTCCATCCGCTGGTTCACTCCCCAGATGGCTGCAACGGCCAGAGCTGCACTGATCCGAAGCCAGGAGCCAGGAGCTTCTTCCGGGTCTCCCATGTGGGTGCAGGGGCCCAAGGACTTGGACCATCTTCTGCTTTCCCAGGCCATAGCAGAGAGCTGGATTGGAAGAGGAGCAGCCTGGACTAGAACCAGCACCCATATGGGTTGCCGGTGCTTCAAGCCAGGGCTTTAACTCTCTGTGCCACAGCACTGGCCCTATAAAACCTCTTATAGTGACTTCTGGAGAATCATCTTTTATTATATTGGACTATTGCAGAAAAACTGTTATATCAATGAGAGGCTCACCCTTTATGGACTAGTAAATTCTTACCATATAGCTATTTTGAAAGGACATTTGTTATGCAAGATTCTGACTTGGATTGTTCATTAAGATACCTATCCAAAGATGAGGAAATATATTTGCTTAAGTGAATTATTTAGTTGTGTTAAATTTGACTCTTCCTTAGTTATTGGGCATTTAAATGGTGTCTGTGCTCTAAATTTAAGTATGGTATTTATTTGTTTCTTAAAAATTGCTCTTTCTGGGAAATTTCCTCTTGCTTCCATCTATTGGGATGTTGAATAATGGCCTCCTGTGGTTTTGCGTAGTGTTTATATTAGCTTCTGCCTTTTATACTAACCAAGTGTTGGAGGTTAGTCTTTTTAGATGATCTTCCTGCTGTACTGGGCATCTCTAGCTTTTGTTCTCTGTGTTCCTCTCAGGTAGGATAATTTCTCAGCTTGCCTTCCTTCAGATCTAAGTTTTTCTGGTTGGACAGTAGGAATTAAACTATACATTTGTGTTTTGAAACTTGCCTGAACACTTATCCCAATGACATGAGATATGTGTCTATGACAAAGGAGGCTTTTGTCCAGCAGAAGGCAAAAAATTGGATTTTCAGCTGTCAGGGTCTAGATATGTCATAGGTACCAGGAATACATTGTGACTGTTGTACATATTTGGGAAGTTTATTATTATAAAAGTTATTAGTGGTTATTTCTTGGTATATCATCATTTTCTTAATATGATGCTGCTAATTCACAGATGTGGATTCATTTCATATTTTTTTCTTTTCAAAAAGAAGTGTATCATTACTTATCTCCTCTTAGGAAAGACTCCTGCTTTACTTTCTGCCACTCAGCAGAAGTTTTCATTTTTGAACAGCATTCAAATTTCTAAATAAATAATTTTTTTTTGACAGGAAGAGTTAGAGAGAGAGAGACAGAGAGAAAGTTCTTCCTTCCGTTGGTTCACCCCACAAATGGCTGCTACAGTCGGTGCACTGTGCCAGTCTGAAGCCAGGAGCCAGGTGCTTCCTCCTGGTCTCCCATGCAGGTGCAGAGGCCCAAGCACTTGTGCCATCTTCCACTGCCTTCCTGGGCCACAGCAGAGAGCTGGACTGGAAGAGGAGCAACCGGGACAGAACTGGTGCCCCAACCAGGACTAGAACCTGGGGTGCCTGCGCTGCAGGCAGAGGATTAGCCTAGTGAGCTGTAGCGCTGGCCTAAATAATTTTTTTATTATTATTTTGAATGATAAAGCTAAGTCCGGTCTCAACAACAAGTAGTGGTAAATGAGAGGGGGAAAAAAACCAGAGATACTTTTAAAAGATTTTGTAGTTTATTAGTGATTGAGAAATATGTTTTATTCCTTTTCATAGATTTTGAAATTTGTCTTCTCTAGGTTTCCAACGGAGCCAAATGTTGGAGCTGTCTTTACTGCTCCTGTGAAGAGTGAAGTGAGCAAATACATCCCAGTGGTAGGCTTTTGAAGAGAGCAATTACAGGTAAATGTCTCATTTTCTTACCATGATTGATATGTGTTCAGCAATGTTCAATAATTTATTATACTTTTTAAAAAACAAACCTACTTGAACTTACATATCCAGCAGATTGTTGTCTTGTTCAAAACAGTCTTTTTGCAAGGCTGTACTCTGTCCTTTGCTCAGAGTGTTTACAATTTTTTCTTTGGGAAATGCTAGCATTCTTGTAAGCATTCTGTGTGCTGTGGCGGTGAATCTCATCCTTTAGGGTATGTTTGGGAAATAGTCTAAACTCATTTATAGATAAGGTGACAAATCTGGGGCACCCTAATTTTGATTAAATAAAATCAAGAAGGATCAATAACACAAGGAAATCAGTTTTTCTTTTTATCACGTGTGTGTTTATTTGAAGACTCATTTACTTTTAAGATGAGGTGACTGAGTTTCAGACAATGGTAGTATTATTAAAATAAGCAGTGTGGGTGTTGTGATGGGGCAGGTTAAGCTGCCACTTGGGGTGCCTGCATCCTACTGTCAGAGTGCCTGGGATCTACTCTCACCTTAGCTCCTGAGCCAGCTTCCTGGTAATGCGCCTGGGAGGCAGCAGATGATAGACCAGATATTTGGATTCCTGCTTCCTGGCTTTGACATGACCCAACCCTGGCTTTTGTGGCATTTGGGGAATGAACTGGAAGCTGTAAGGTAGAAGATTGATATCTCCTCTCTCTCTCTATCTCTTCTCCTCCACCTCTTCCTCCTCCTCTCTGTAGCTCTGCCTTTCAAATAAAAACTTTATATATATATATATATATATATATGTGAAGCCTAATCAATTATATATATATATATATATATATATATATATATATAATTGATTAGGCTTCACAGTTTATGGAGAAGTATGTTTATCTGAATGGATGATTGTTGATACACTTTCATATTAAAATCAGTTAATTAATCAGTACATCTGTCAGTGTTGTAAAAAGGTTCCTGTATTAATTGGGTTAAATAAGATGATTTCTAAACTTCTTTAAAAGGGTTACTTCTAAGGCTTTATAATTTGCCTCTTAAAATTACCCCCTGGAAGTGTGTTTTGTAATTTTTTCAAAGTGTTATTAGAGTGCTTGTTAAAAATATGCATGAAAATCCTGAATTACTATACCTTCATCTAGTGTGTCAGAATTAGAATGAAACCAGTAAGATGCAGGACTTGGGAATTTGTGTTTTCCAAATATGTGTCACCAAAAGAGTGATATCCCAGATGCAGAAAAATCAGATTTTTACCTAATCTTCACCTTTTTAAAAAAATTTAAAGCTTTTATATAGTTATATACTCGACTTTTGCTTTGAATAAGACATTGCCAGTATTTTTAGTGTACTCTTCTAACACAGGGTTATATCTTAGTCAAGTTGCCAATAAAGGGTGATGGCTAGATGGTAGAAGCCCCAGCATCTGTCTATATTCATTTTAGCATCCAATCTAGTGTTTTTCATTAAATATTGTTATCAAAGTTTGGCTTTACAGTTTATGGTTCACAGATAAAGTACTTTGTTTCTTGTGCCTTGGGATTTTGTGAAGCACTTTGAGTCCTCCAAATTAAGGGAAGTATTAACATGAAATGAAGCCGTGACTTATTTTTTCAAGATTTCTTTATTTGAAAGGCAGAGTTATATACATATACACACATTCAGAACTTTTCATCTGCTGATTCACTCCCCAAGTGGCCACAATGGGCAGGACAGGGCCAGGCCACAAACAGGAGCCAGGAACTCCATTTCAGCTTCCCCTGGGGGTGGCCGGGAACATCTGTTGTTGCTTTCCCAGGTGCATCGGCAGGGAAGTTGGATAAGAAATGGAGCATCCATGACTCGAACAGTTGCTCATATGAATGCGAGTGTTGTAGGCAGCAGCTTAATTGCTGTGCCACAACACTGGCCCCAGTGTTAACTTTTTAGATATGTAAACACATTTTTGTTCTCATTTTATTCGAAAGCATGGAGAAAAAGACACACACACACACACACACACACAGATATCTTATATTTGGTGGATCACTTCTCACATGGTCATCACAGCTAGGGCAGGGACAGACTTAAGCCAGGAGCCTGGAACTCAATCTTGGTCTTCCAAGTGGGTGGCAGGGACTCAAGCACTTGAACCATCACCTGCTGCCTCCCAGAATATACATCAGCAGGAAACTAGTTTGCAAATGGCAGAGCTGTGACTTGACCCAGGTGACTCAATATAGGATGTGGTTGTCCTAAGCTGTATTTTAAATACTGTGGCAAATGCTTGAACATAGATATTGTCAATCTACAAACAAATTATACCTATTAAAGTTATATAGCTTCTAAAGTTATATACTATATCATAGCATCTTACGCATGTTAACATTAAGAGGTAATATATGGGGAAGAGATGCCATGTTCTGAGAGCAAGGTGAGAGCAGATTTTGGTAGCCCATGTCACTGGTGATATTGACTGAGGGAGAACCCTGTGGCTCACACTGACCTTGAGTCTGGCCTGGAGTGCTGGCGGGGGCGGGGAGCAGGGTATTGACCTAATCCTGTGAAAGAAGATAACATTTCTTTCTCCTCACAAATGTGCCCAGTGACCAGCAGAGAGAACGTACTATCTTAATGTAAGCAGAAGCTGTGGCAGCTCACACACATGCAACTGACTAGGAGATTTTACCAGAGGGAATAATCACATTCCCCACTGACTTTGAGTCTTGCCTGGAGGGTTGCTGGGGCACTCACTCAAGACTGTGAATTGCTCGCATCTCTCCACTCTATCAAAGACAAATCTTTGAGAATACATCAGTCAAAAAAGAAGAAAAAATTTGAAAAATTGAATATAGTGTTTGAGGTTTATGGTATACTATCAAAGAACCCAACATATGGGTCTTAGGAGTTCCTGAAGGTGTGGAGAGAATAGATTAGAAAGCCCATTCAGTGAAATAATACCAGAAACTTCTCTAAATTTGAAGAAAGGGACATTCAAGTACAGGAAGCATATAGAAAGAAAGACCTTCCAGACAGAGATCTAAGATGGTTGAATAGAGTATAGACACACTAACTTAAATTGTTGTGGGATATGAAAAGAACAAAGGAAGGACTGTTTTCAGGGGTCTGACAGAAATTTTCGATGAAGAAGTTAAAAAAACAACAGCCAAGACTACATGGGAAGAGTAGAGAAAACAGACACTGCTGCAACCAGCTACGTGGTACAGACAGCTGCTGGCTGTGAGCTGCCATCTTACATCAAGTTAGGAAGAAATCGCATGCACCCCACTGCTCGCAACTTTAGCTGAGAGGGAATTCCATAGTCACCTTCTGTTACTTCAGCCTGAAGAGCTGACTGGGATCTGAGCAATGGCTGAGTTTGGAGCAGGAAGCTGCTTTGCTTCATGCCCCTCCCCATTTCCCATAGAGCACCATACTTGGTGCATCATGCCTCTGTTCTACCAGCATCATAGTCAGTCCGGGCAGAGGACAGATTCCCTGCATCTTGCAGCTGTGAGAACTTTTGGCATTAGCCCCAGAGCTATGCTCACACACTATATGTCAGTAAGGGGATTCACCTAGCTTCTGGCAGCTAACACCAGAAGCAGGCCTTAAAAAAATTTGCTCCCCTGGGAGATCTGGGTAATGACCCCACTACACACTATAACACCAGGACTGTAACAGTTCATTCTAAATTTCTGGGTGCCACTGAAATCTACTTAGGATATAGGAAAAAACCTACCTACATTCCTGCTCTCTGGACTTATACCCTCCAGTGTAAACTCTCCTGTGTACCGTGTAGTCACCTTGTAGGACTGGAACAAGGTCCAGTTTACATCTTCTAGTTCTAGGACTAGTGCTATTCGTATTATAAGCTACAGCACAGTTGGGCTCTCCTAGTGGACCTGAGGAAGGGTCCATCCACAACAGTCCTAGGACATGGCAGATACAGGAGATGTGAAGAAGCAAGGTACACTGATGCCTCCAAAAGAACACGATATTCCTCCAGATTTAGACCCTGAACTGAAAGAAATCCATGAAATGACAGAGAATTCAAAATAATGGTTGTAAGGAAACTGAATGAGGTGCAAGAGAACACAGATTAAAGAAATGAGGAAATCAATGAGTGACATAAATGAAAATATAAGGAGATAGAACTCATCAAGAAGAATCAAATAGAAGTTCTGGAGATGAACTCCTCAATCAATAGAATAAAAACTATGAGAGCTTTAACAGCAGAACAAGTGGAGGAAAGAATTTCTGACCTCGAGGACAAGAATTTTGAAATAACCCAATCAGAATAAAAATAAAAATTAAAAAGAATGATGAAAGTTTATGTGAAATATGGGATACCATTGAATGACCAAATATTTGTATTATAGATATTCCTTAAGGAGAAGAAAAGGAAAAGGGCACTGAGAACTTGCCAAATGAAATAATAGTCGAAAACTTCCCAGGTCTTGAAAGAGACATGGACATCCAGACACAAGAAGCTCAAAGAACTCCAGGCAGATTCAGTCCAAAAAGGTTTTCTCCAAGACATATTGTCATCAAATTGTCAAAAGTTAAAGACAAGGAGAGAATCCTAAAGGAAGAGAAAAGCGTTAAGTTACGGATAAAGGAAAAACAGTTAGATTAGCATCATACTTCTTAATGGAAACCCTCTAGGTCAGAAGAGAGTGGGATGATATATACAAGGTCTTAAAAGAAAAAATCTTCCAACCAAGAAATTATATCCAACAAAACTATCCTTAAAAAGTGAAGGAGAAATAAAGTATTTTTCAGATAAGCAAAAACCAAGAGAATTCACCACAAGACAAGCCTTACAAGAAATTCTGGAGGGCATCTACATTAGAAGTAAACATCATGAAAACACACAATACAACCAAATTCACTAACAGAACATGTAGAATTGTTACCCAGTTAAAAATCAGTAATCTCTCAGTGCTGGCCTTGAATATAAGTGGATTAAATTCACCAACCAAAAGGCTTAGGTTGGCTAAATGGATAAAAACCAC